TGCCCCCACTCCCTCGTCCCTGTCCCATCCCTGTCCCCGTCCCCTGCCACGTGTCCCCATCCCCTCATCCCTGTCCCCTGCCCCTGGTCTGTGTCCCATCCTTGTCCCCATCCCCTGCCTTGTGTCCTTGTCCCCTGGTCCCTGTCCCATCCATGTCCCCTGCCCCGGTGTGTGTCCTTGTCCCCTGGTCTGTGTCCCATCCTTGTCCCCATCCCCTGCCCCGGTGCGTGTCCTTGTCCCCTATTCCCTGTCCTATCCGTGTCCCCGTCCCCTGCCACGCATCCCCATTCCCTGCTCCCTGTCCCATCCCTGTCCCCATTCCCTGCCACATGTCCCCATCCCCTCATCCCTGTCCCCTGCCCCTGCTCTGTGTCCCATCCTTGTCCCCATCCCCTGCCTTGTGTCCTTGTCCCCTGGTCCCTGTCCCATCCATGTCCCCTGCCCCGGTGTGTGTCCTTGTCCCCTGGTCTGTGTCCCATCCTTGTCCCCATCCCCTGCCTTGTGTCCTTGTCCCCTGGTCCCTGTCCCATCCGTGTCCCCCGCCCTGGTGTGTGTCCTTGTCCCCTATTCCCTGTCCTATCCGTGTCCCCGTCCCCTGCCACGTGTCCCCATTCCCTGCTCCCTGTCCCATCCCTGTCCCTGTCCCCTGCCACGTGTCCCCATCCCCTCATCCCTGTCCCCTGCCCCTGGTCTGTGTCCCATCCTTGTCCCCATCCCCTGCCTTGTGTCCTTGTCCCCTGGTCCCTGTCCTATCTGTGTCCCCATCCCCTGCCACATGTCCCCATTCCCTGCTCCCTGTCCCATCCCCTTCTCCTGCCTCGGTGCGTGTCCTCATCCCCTGGTCCCTGTCCCCTGCTCCTGCAGGACCAGCAGTTCTTCTCCAACCCCCCCCCGGCGCCGTGGCCCCGACTGGCCGAGGTGCTGAGCTGGCAGTTTGAGAGCGTGGCCGAGCGGGGGCTGAGCCGGGACCACCTCCTCATGTTGGCCGAGAAGCTCTTCGGTAAGGTGGGGTGCCAGCCCCCAGCCCCCCAGCCCCCCCGGGATGGGACAAGGGCCATATTGCCCCCCCCTCACCCTGCTCTCACCTCCAAGGCTCCAAGCCATCGCCGGAGAGCGCCCTGACCTGGCCCAAATTCTCCAAGGTGAGTGGTCCCTGTCCCCCGCCATGGCCCCGTCCC